GAGGAGGAGGAGGAGCAAGTCTCCTTGGAGCCTTTGAGGCCGTCGCGGGCGGCGGCCAGTACCCGGTTCAGGGCGCCCCCCAAGGCGGGCTTCAGGTCCTCGCGGCCGGGGCGGGGTCCCGGCGCGGGGGCCCGAAGGGAATTCGATGGGAACCGATCCTTGGGAGGGATAAGCAAACCTCTGGTACCTACACCTCCTCCTCCTCCTCCTCCGCCTCCTCCTCCTCCTCCTCTTCCTCCTCCTCCTCCTCCTCCTCCTCCTCCTCTCCTCCTCCTGCTCTGCTCCTCCTCATCCTCATCCTCCCTCCTCCTCCTCCTACTCCTCCACCTCCTCCTCTTCCTCCTCCTCATGCACCTCCTCCTCCTCCTCCTCCTCCTCCTCCTCCTCCTCCGCCTCCGCCTCTGGCTCCTCTCCTTTACTTGCTCCTCCTCCTCCTCCTCCTCCTCCTCCTCCTCTCCCTCCTCCTCCTCCTCCCCCTCCTCCTCCTCCTCCTCCTCCTCCTACTCCTCCTCCTCCTCCCTCCTCCTCATCCTCCTCCTCCTCCTCCTCATCCTCCGTATGATCGGTGCGATATGTAGACGGACCTTGAAGCGCTGTTGCATCCAATATGACCTCGGACTTCTGCCTGGCCTTAGAACCAACCGAACCTCAAATGCAACTTGATCCAGCAACGAACTCTGCTGGATGCTTATGTTTTGGGCGTGGTGTTGCAGAACAGTCTGAACAAGATGGGATAATGGTCGTCGTCCTTCGAGCCGCCGTCGCCTTGGTAGTCCACCCGCAATGACCGTACTTTACCATGCCATACCCGATCCACAATATGTAGTCCAGACGTGGCACCTGCCTCCCCAAGCCCTGTCTCGAATTGCCAACGCAAGTATGCATTCCTGCGTTCTCAGGATATAGACTCTCTACGTGCAACTTGGTCGGCCTTGTAAAACTTGAGAAAGAAGCCCCGTTGCACCGGTCTCGTCCGTGACACTTTCTGGGGACAATGCCCCAACGTCGGTTCCATGACGTTCACTACCTGCTCTACCCAGTGAAGCGCTCACATCGCCATACACACAGACAGGGGCCACTTGAAAGTCATTTCCCCTGCATCGCTCCAACACTTCTTGAGGTCGAATTTGGGGTGCCGATTGAATGGCGCATGGACCACGCACGAGGTCTGTCATCATGTACAAGGCCCGAACTTTCACCACCAATAATCTTGGATCGCCATGAAGAGCTCGAAAGTCTCCTCTTGTTAAATACCACTATCCCTGCGCCCTCCTGGCATGCGTGTATATACTGCATATCGGTTGGTAACAAGCTCCCCACTGTTTGATCCCGATCAGCTGGCCCTATCACAAGATACCCATCAAGCACCATCGCATATCCTTTTAACAGGGGACTCCTGACAACCAGCGATCGGACACCATCCTCTCTCATCTGCAGTCGAAGCGTTTGCGGTCGAGTCGTTGTTTGTGCTCCAGGTGCACCATCTCTCACCACGTCGCGGTCAAGCTTTGCCCTCTGCATCTTGAATGTCGCCATCGCCGTATCAATATGATTCAAGCTCTTGGCTTCGCCCTCGGCTACCTTAGCCACAGCCGTCCTGTTTGTTTAAGCTCACACTGCTGCATCTGCCATTGAACGTGCAGCCCATCTGTGTTACAAAGGGGAAAAGTAGACCTTGATGCTGAAGGTCAGGGTAGCATGCCCGACCTGTGTGGAGACATAGGTCGCGCACTTGACCCTCCACTCGTACTCCCCCTACCCTCCCCTCACGTACGAGGGGTGCGGGATGGGGATGGCGTGAGTGTAGTGCGGGTAGAGGAGTGGCTAATGAGCGGTGGGACTGGGAATGGGGGGGGGGTGCGGGTGGAGCCCTCCGCCCTCACTATCCCCTCCGTATCGCATGTGCCGCAGTACAGACCGTGGTATCCTGGGTGATGTGTTTGATCAGCTCACTATGGTTCTGTGCTATTGCCCTCCTCCTTTCGTCCTCGACCAGCCTTGACTGCCGTGCCCTCCACGTCATTGAGCACCTCAGATGTCGAAATCTCCACTCCTCTTTCGAACTGATCTGGTGAAAAGCCGTCCACGCAGGTCCGTCCATCTGCACTTGCTCTCGCCATAGCCTGAATGATGCTTCTTGAGACAATGCTGCGAGTCGTAGAGGCGCAGGATGGTCCTGGCAAGACCTCTCTGTTGCCTGGTTCGGGGATGCCTGGCGGGCGAGAGAGATGCTGCCCCCTCCCCCCCGCGCTATAGCGCCCCGCGCCGCGGGCCGCGTGGACCCGCTGAGCTCCTTCCGAGCGGCCCTGCACCCTGTGGGCGTGCGCGCGCTCTCGGCCCCGAGCGGTTGACGGCCTCCCGTGCTCCCTCGAAGAATCGCCGCCCAGAAGGCGCTGGCATGGTGGCGGAATTGCCGGAGAAAGCTGGAATATTCCGTTTCCTCGAACTCCTCCTCCTCCTTTTCCTATTCCTCCTCCTCTTTCTCTGTCTCCTCCTCCTC